TACCAGCCTTAAATCCAATTGCTCTTTGTTTTTTGATAATTATCATTTTAAAGAGTTATGCGTATATATCATCTTTTTAATTAGTATGAATCGGGGTTATTGGTTTATGTACAATACTTATAGAGTAACTTCATTTTGATAATATACAATTATTATTTATTCTTAATAAAATGAAATTAGATATAAAAATTAATAAATATTTATTATTTGTTTTTAACTTTAACGACTATATTATTATCTTATCATATTTATATATATGTTCATATATATTCATTAATAATTAATTGTTTCAATTATTTATTGGATTATTTCATTATAAATTGGTTCATTTTAATATAGATAATAAATTGTATAAACCAGTTTTAAGATATATTCAAATAGTATTTAGTTAGAAGTGAGTTACATGTAATATATAGTAAATAATTCTAATGAATTGTAATAATGAATATTATTAAAATTTGAATTATTTCAAACTATGAATTTTAATAAAGACAATTAGATATTTAATTCAATAAAAAAAGAATTGTTTATTATAGAATGAATGAGGGAAGTAAAAATGTTTGAATAAAAGAAACAAAAATAGAAATGTATATTAAATATTAAACATATCAACTTTGCTTTAATGTTGAATAAAAACAATGATTTATTCAAAAGAATTAAACAAATACAATGATTTATTTTTTCAAGTATCTGAATAAATCAATATTAATATTACAGATATAAGAAAAATGGTATGAAACATTGAATTATTTTTTTTAAAATAAAAACAATAGCAAAATTAGTAATTTATAAATAAAATGATTTTAAATTAAATTTTTGTATAACAATTTTAAAAGAGAAAGAAGTTATTCATCAAAAGTAAGTAAATCGTCAATAAAATCACCGTCTAATATTAATGACTTAATCCCAACAAAATAATCTCCCATATCTGATCTGAATTGATTAACATCTATATTATCATGATTATTAACCCAAATAGTTAATTGGTTAATTGATGATGGTAAATCTATTTTATTAAGACAATACTTCTTTCTTTTTACGAAAAGTACAAAAAATAATTCTTTTAATTGAGTTGTTTTAGTTAAAGAAATTGATTCAACAATTCCACAACTAATTTGAGTAACAGTTTTAGGAATCATTGAATCAATAAGATAAGATAAATTTCCTAAAGATAATGATTGTAAATAACAATTATTAATTCCATTGTCAAGAAGATAAGGAGTAGTAAGAGAAGTTAAAGAAGAAGGGAAAATAAGTTTTCCAGGTAATTGAGGAAGAGAAAGTTCTTTTAATCCTGAGTTAAGAATAACTTCTTTTTTAAATTTATTTTTAATTACAAGTTTAGTTAAAGTAGATGGTGAAGTAAATTTACAATGAATTTTATCTAATTTTAATTCTTGAAGATATTTCATTTTGTCAATAAAAGGCATGAATTGAAAAATTCTTAATGAAGTTACTTTGACTGTATCAATATTGGGAATTAAAACGTCTATAAGAATACCAGTGATTTTAAGTTTTTTTAAACAAGTAGGAAGAGTATATGACTTAGCTTTTTGACAAATTTCAAGAGAAGTTAAACAATTAAATGGGGTTAAATCAACATTAAGTTCAGCACATCCAAAATATTCATTAGTAAGAGATCCAAATGCTAATTTTAATTTTGTTGGTAAATATTTTTCATTAAACCATTCTTGATGTTTAGTAATAACAGACTTTGAATAATCAAATTGACTTGATGACTCTATAGGGAAAAATGGATAACATTCAACTGGATAAAGACGAGTATTTTTAACAAAGAAATGATACAATGGAAATGTTTTAATAATAGTATCAATTGTAATTGATTTATCTTTATCAGTTAATGAATGAGATCCCCACTTATTCTTATCTCCAAAAATAACACTAACTCTGAATGAACCTTTTTTAATAATCTGTAATATATCTTTAAGACATAACCATGAAGTTTCACTTTCAACAAAAATGATAAGATGATTTAAATCTTGCATTTTTAATATTGTCTCATTAATACAATCTGCTTCAATTTGAAGAGTATTTGCTTTTTGATATCCAGAATAATCAAATCCTTCCATTTGATTATTTGAAATGATTTGATTCATTTTGATTGATGTAAGTTTACTTCCCCATTTTTGTGTTATTTTTTCTAGACTAAAACAATTATTAAAATTTACTCTAATTCTTTCAACTTTATTAAATTGTTCTTCTGTTAAACTTGTTAATTGTTTTGGATGTAACTGAAGTGTTTCAATATTTGGAAAGTATAAAAACAATTTATCAATAAATGATCGAACGTGGTCATTTGAATTAACAATAAAATATGAATAATAAACATTGTTTCTAACAACATTATAATCAAACAAAGGATTTACTCTTAGTCCAATACCTGACTCTTGACATTTTTTAGAGATTTGAAAAAAATGAGTGACTGTTCTAAAGTCTTGAATGTAAAGAAGTACATTCATCATAAACGGAAGTTCTAACTTTACTTTGCTCATAACTTTTTTATTATTGAGTTTTTCTTTCAATCTTTTTTATTGATTTAATATTACTATAATGAAAAAAAAATAATAAGATTATAATGAAAAGACAATTTTTGATAAAAAATCTTTACGTCAAAATTAATATATTTTTTTAATATGAAAAGAAAAACAACTTGTCATTCAAAAAGAAAGTAAATCAAGCACTTTTAGAACCAAGCCTCTTTTTACAATTTGGACAGAAATGGACTGCATTTTTGAAATTTCGCATACAGCAGAAAATAAGACCACAACAGCAAAATCCAAGCAATGTAAAAATACAGCACATAAGACATGCCATACCTCCAGCCTCATACCTTACAATTGTTGTAACTGTCATATTACAACGAGGACAAAACGCTTGTTGTGGATCTCTTCCAAATGGGAGTTGGGTTTGTGGTGATGCTCCTGTTCCTTGTGTTTGAACAATAACAACTGGTTGTTGTGCTGGTTGCTGGGTTGGCTGACCCATTGGTGATGGTTGTGCATACCCTGGAGCTTGGTTATACATTGGTTGTGGATACATTGGTTGTTGTGTTGGTTGTGGATACATTGGTTGTTGTGCTGGTTGACCCATTGGAGTTGATTGATCATACATTGGCTGATTGTACATTGGTTGTGCATACATTGGTTGTTGTACATTTTGGTTAACTGGTTGTTGAACTTCAGAAGTAGGTTGAACAGGTTCTGGTTGGGGTGCTTGATTTTCTATAGGTTGAGCAGTTTCTTGTTGTGTGGGTTGTTGTGCATTTGGGTCAACTAATTGTTGTTGAACTTCAGAAGTGGGTTGAACAGGTTCTGGTTGAGGTGCTTGGTCAACTTCTGGGACAGGTTGTTGTTCTATTTCTTGAGGTTGTTGTTCTATTTCTTGAGGTTGTTGGTTAGCGTCAGGAGCATCAGGGACTTGATAAGTTGAATCAGTCATTAAATAAATAAGGAGTTAATAAGATAAGATAGAATCTCAATAAAAAAAGTACTTTAAAAATAAACAACTATTCAATTTCTTGTGATATGAAAATGGGGTAATTTTGTCTCAACAAAAAGGGTTAATATTTATGTATAATTTAAAATATTATTATAGTTAAAAAGTTATTTAATTATTATTCTTTTTATATGATTTTTCATTTTCATGTTTGTTTATTTAAAAAAAAAAAACAAGTTTTTATAAAAAAAGAATTACTTTTTCCAAAACATTTGAAAAGTAAAAAGAAAATGATTTAATATCAGTGATATTGTTATTGAATTTTAATTTTTATAAAAATATTGTGATATATTAATTATTTTTCTTTAAGTTTTTATCATTTTTGTTGGAAGAAAGAAATTTTTAAAAAATTGAAGAATGAAAATCAGAAACATTTATACATAACACTAAAATAAACCAAATCGTTGAAAAATCAAATTATTTATTTAATTATTATTTTGTTTTTGAAGAAATAATACCAATTCAATATTGATTGTTATTTATTAATATTTGTTATAATAATTATTAATGAAGTATTTATTATGAAAGAGTATTATTTAATTATCAACATTCAAGTATATTTTAATAATAATGATTTTGAATTAAACATATTAATATTATCAAGATAAAGTGATAAATGAATGATAATAATCAATAAGATGAAACAGAGTCATATTGTTCTTAATATTTTCAAAATAAAATAATAAAATAAAAGAATGTAAAATCAAAATTAAATAAAAATTTAAATGAAGAATATTTAAGTTGATAATGATAGTTGAAAAAAAAAACATTAATTCACAAGAAATAAAACATAGTGAAGAAAGTGAAACATTCATTTCTCAATATGATGAAAATTTAACTATTAAGTAAATCATAATTAATTTTATTTTTGTTTTTCTTTAATTTAAACTTTTTACTATTTTTGTATATACAATAATACCCTTCTTATTTTTCAATGAGGAATTAATAATTCTATCGTTTTTTTTTTCTTTTTGGAAGTATGTATTTGTATTTTTTCAAAAATATAGTTTTTTTGGTTTTACTTATAAAATAAATTTTGATTTATTATTTTGTAATAACAACAATTTGGATATTTGAAAATAATTATTAATTTTTTTTTTTGAAAAAATTAAAAAAAGTATCGCTCTGGGAATTATTTTAGTTAGTTTTTTTTTATGTAGTTTTTCGTGATTGTTGAAATGGTTATTTAAGTATTCAGATGAATAATGTAATTGAAAAGTTATTGGATAAAAAAAGTTAAAGAGATACTTAAGTAACAGAGATAACAGAATCAGAATGCTCTTTTACAGGAAAGTATTGTAACAATAATTTGAAGAAGTATGAAAAGAGTCAAAAAACAAGAAAAAAGAAACAGGTTATTTAAAAAATAATTAAGAATTAGTTTGGGAATGAGAAATAATATAAAATAAAAAAAGTTGAGAAGATGTAATGATGAAAATTAATAAATATTTTTTTGTAGAGTCTAATAAAAATAAAAAGAAAGAAGCATAAAAGATATTATAAATAACACAATTATTTAATAAGAGAAAATTTAATTGAAATATGTTAAATTGAAAAAGAAGTTAAGTATTTTTATTAAATACTAAAATATATCCATTTTTGAAAGATATTTTAATTAAACAAAGGGGAAACAAAGAAAGAAGAATAAAAAATAACAAATTGATAAAATTAATAGAGAAAATTAAAATAGAAAATATTATATTTTGTGTATTAAAGAAGAAACAAAGAAATAAATAACAAAAGGATAATAAAAAGATATTAGGCAATATTATATTATCAATCTAATCACAAAGAAAAAAAAAGAAAGAATAAACAAATAAATTATAATTATTCAACAAAATTTAAAAAAAATATAATGATAATAACTAATTAAATATTAAACTGTTTAAAATTCAAAACAATAAAATCAAGTTTAATTCAATATTAAAAAAAGTATTATCATTGTTTAATAATTTCTTCAGTATTTTTCAAATTTTTAATATTCCATTTTTTCACTTTTGTTTTTGGTCCCAAACAAACCATTATTTCATTTGCATTTATTTCAGTAATTTGTGAGTTTTTATACGTTAAATATCTAATAACATCACACGTTATTGTATCTATTGTACAACCATATAAATCAATACTATGACAATTTCCATCCATACTTAAAGTATTACATTCAACATTAGTTAACTTAATTGAATTACATTTTAATTTTAAATAATCAAATTGACAATTTTGTAAATTAATATAACTAAAAGGAAATTCACAAAAATCAATTTCTTTTCCTTCATAATTCCAAAGTTCCATATTTTTATTTCTAAGAGTAAAAAATTGAATATTATTTAAAACAGTTTCTTTATCATTATATTTAAAATAGATTGTTTGTAAATTGTTATTGTTATTATTTTCAACATTTATAAAATTATTACAATAACTTATTATTGTTGAAGTAATTTTATTTGTATCAACATAAATGTTATTTTCTTTAAGTAATATACTATTATGATACCATTTTATTTCTTGACTAGAATTAATTTCAATTTTTTCTAATTTATCATCATTTATGTCAATTGATTTTCCTTGATAATAATTTAATATTAACTTTTTTAAATAACATTTTGAAATATCAATTGATGCTTTACAGTGTTTAATTGTTAATGATTTTAAATTAGGTGGAATAACAATAATAAGACTTTGTTTTTCAACTTTTTGTATTGATAATGATTCAATACCAAATGATGTTAAATCAATTCTATTTCCTTCATAGTTATTTAAAATATTTTCAATAATAACATTTTGTATATTATTTTTATTAATTATTTCATTAATTTGTTCGATTTTATCTAAAATATCACTTTCAATATAAACAGTATTATTATAATTTTTAAAATTAATTAAAAACTTATTTTCATATGGTAGTAATGGTAAATAATGTAAACTTATTGTTGATTTATTAAATATTCTAGTATAAAATCTACAATTAACAAATTGACTAAAATCAATTTGTTTTAATAAATTAGTATTTGTAAATCTATATTCATTTAAAATAATAATAAAATTGATTTGTTTATGTTTATTAACATTAATTTTTTCTAAATATTCTTGAATTTCAAGAATATTACAAATAATAATAACTTTTTTTAATGTTGGTAAATCAATTAATTTTTTTATTATATTAAAATCAATGGAACGTATAATAACTAATTCTTGTAATTGAATAAAATAATTTGGATGTTTTAATTGAACTTTCATACTAAAATCAAAATCAATTCGTATTTTTCTTATTTTGGAACAAAACCATTTTGTATCAAATACTTTTGTTTGTTTTGATCGTTCATTCCATCCTCCTACTTCAATAAGTGGAATATCATTTGCTGTTATTTTGTATAACCTTGATGGACATCTTCTAACATAAAATGTTTGTAAATTAGGAAATAATGGAATAATTTCATCAAATGAATGATGGATTGTTAGTTCATATGGATTGACATAAATCGTATTGATTGCTTCTTCACATGATTTACTTACTTGTGCAAATCTCCCTACATCTTTTAATGTTGGTAAATATAATAAAACATTCTTCAAAAAAACATTTTCTAAATGAATCATTATTTGTTATTGTTATTTTAGAAGTTCTGTTTTTTAAGTTTTAATAAAAATGAGGAA